TTTTTTTGATATCATTTTCCAATCTTATCGGATGTTCGCGAAGGGACAAAGACAGCTCATGTACCACTACTTTTCTTTTGTTGTATATTATTAGTAAAAAAGACCTTTACTTTTCTTTTGTTGTATATTTCACTAATTTTTGCATGGGTAATTGTTAGCCCTATTAATGTTGCATAAAAAATAAAAACATTAAAAAATATTGTAAAATAAAAAAATAAGTATATTATAAAATATATTCAAATTTGGAAATAAATTAAATGGAAAATTATGTGAAAATTTTTTGGTGGCAGACAACTCATTTAATATCACACTTCTTTCTATATTGGAATTTCAAAATTAATAATAACTAAATTTTTTTGAATTTCTATTTTATGTTCAAATTTAAATTTTGAATTTGAATTTTTAACTTTGTAATGGTGAAAAAACTTTTGGAAAACTTTTGGGGGCAGACAGCTCATTTAATGTCCCACTGCTTTTCTTTTGTTAAATATTATGAGTAAAAAAGACCTCTACTTTTCTTTTGTTGTAATCCAACTATTTTTTTTGTTAGCCCTATTAATGCTGCTTAAAAAAACACAAAAATATTAAATTTTTTTTGTAAAATAATAAAATTATTATATTGTAAAATAAATTCAAAATTTGGAAATAAATTAAATGGAAAATTACGTGAACAATTTTTTGTGGCAGACAACTCATTTAATATCACACTTCTCTCTACATTAGAATTTCCAAATTAATAATAACTCCAAATTTCGAATTTATGTTTATATTTAAATTTTGAATTTGAAATTTTAACTTTGTAATGATGGGAAAAATTTTGCTGACAGAAAGCTCATTTAATGTCCCGCTACTTTTCTATTATATAATATATTATGAGTAAAAAAGACCTCTACTTTTTGCATGGGTAATTGTTAGCCCTATTAATGCTGCATAAAAAAAACAAAAACATTAAAAAAATATTGTAAAATAACAAAATTATTTATATTGTAAATTAAATTCGCAATTTGAAAAATAAATTAAATGGAAATTTATGTGAACAATTTTTCAACCTATATCAATTTAAAATTCGAATTTTAAAAAAGAAGTGGGATGTTAATGCACATATATGCCACTAATTAATGATGAGTCTTTTGGTTTTTCGATAAATATGGAAAAAAGCATTCAATGTTTTTCGAAATGAGGGTTAACAATTTTCATATAGAAAATAGTGGGAATCTAATACAGTTGTCTCCCACTAAAAGATGTTAAATTCTTTTCTCACCTATATCAACTTCAAATTTCGAATTTTAAAAAAGAAGTGGGATATTAATGCATCTGTCTGTCACTATTTAATGCTGAACTCTTTTCGCATTAACTATTTAGTTTGAATATTTTAAATTTCGAATTAAAATAAATTATTTTCATTCTTCTGTTTTAAAATTCTATATCTCGTATGATTGTTTTTCGTTCATCTGTTTAAAATTCTATAGCTCGTATAATTATTTTTTCGTTTTTCATTTTATCATTATGAGCATTGGCAACTCCCATTTTTAAGTTAAAGTTTTATTAAATTTTCTTTTAAACTATAGGTACGTCATTTCGTATTTTTTTAAAAATTTAAATTTGAAATTTTAACTTTGTAATGATGGGAAAATTTTTGCTGACAGAAAGCTCATTTAATGTCCCGCTACTTTTCTATTATATAATATATTATGAGTAAAAAAGACCTCTATTTTTTGCATAGGTAATTGTTAGCCCTATTAATGCTGCATAAATTTAAAATTTAAAATTCTATATCTCGTATGATTGTTTTTCGTTCATCTGTTTTAAAATTCTATAGCTCGTATAATTATTTTTTCGTTTTCCATCTTATCATTATGAGTATTGGCAACTCCCATTTTTAAGTTAAAGTTTTATTAAATTTTCTTTTAAACTATAGGTACGTCATTTCGTATTTTTTTAAATATTTAAATTTTGAATTTGAAATTTTAACTTTGTAATGATGGGAAAATTTTTGCTGACAGAATGCTCATTTAATGTCCCGCTACTTTTCTATTATATAATATATTATGAGTAAAAAAGACCTCTACTTTTTGCATGGGTAATTGTTAGCCCTATTAATGCTGCATAAAAAAAACAAAAACATTAAAAAAATATTGTAAAATAACAAAATTATTTATATTGTAAATTAAATTCGCAATTTGAAAAATAAATTAAATGGAAATTTATGTGAACAATTTTTCAACCTATATCAATTTAAAATTCGAATTTTAAAAAAGAAGTGGGATGTTAATGCACATATATGCCACTAATTAATGCTGAGTCTTTTGGTTTTTCGATAAATATGGAAAAAAGCATTCAATGTTTTTCGAAATGAGGGTTAACAATTTTCATATAGAAAATAGTGGGAATCTAATACAGTTGTCTCCCACTAAAAGATGTTAAATTCTTTTCTCACCTATATCAACTTCAAATTTCGAATTTTAAAAAAGAAGTGGGATATTAATGCATCTGTCTGTCACTATTTAATGCTGAACTCTTTTCGCATTAACTATTTAGTTTGAATATTTTAAATTTCGAATTAAAATAAATTATTTTTCATTCTTCTGTTTTAAAATTCTATATCTCGTATGATTGTTTTTCGTTCATCTGTTTAAAATTCTATAGCTCGTATAATTATTTTTTCGTTTTCCATCTTATCATTATGAGCATTGGCAACTCCCATTTTTTAGTTAAAGTTTTATTAAATTTTCTTTTAAACTATAGGTACGTCATTTCGTATTTTTTTAAAAATTTAAATTTGAAATTTTAATTTTGTAATGATGGGAAAATTTTTGCTGACAGAAAGCTCATTTAATGTCCCGCTACTTTTCTATTATATAATATATTATGAGTAAAAAAGACCTCTATTTTTTGCATAGGTAATTGTTAGCCCTATTAATGCTGCATAAATTTAAAATTTAAAATTCTATATCTCGTATGATTGTTTTTCGTTCATCTGTTTTAAAATTCTATAGCTCGTATAATTATTTTTTCGTTTTCCATCTTATCATTATGAGTATTGGCAACTCCCATTTTTAAGTTAAAGTTTTATTAAATTTTCTTTTAAACTATAGGTACGTCATTTCGTATTTTTTTAAATATTTAAATTTTGAATTTGAAATTTTAACTTTGTAATGATGGAAAAATTTTTGCTGACAGAAAGCTCATTTAATGTCCCGCTACTTTTCTATTATATAATATATTATGAGTAAAAAAGACCTTTACTTTTTGCATGGGTAATTGTTAGCCCTATTAATGCTGCATAAAAAAACAAAAACATTAAAAAAATATTGTAAAATAACAAAATTATTTATATTGTAAATTAAATTCGTAATTTGAAAAATAAATTAAATGGAAATTTATGTGAACAATTTTTCAACCTATATCAATTTAAAATTCGAATTTTAAAAAAAAAGTGGGATGTTAATGCACATATATGCCACTAATTAATGCTGAGTCTTTTGGTTTTTCGATAAATATGAAAAAAAGCATTCAATGTTTTTCGAAATGAGGGTTAAAAATTTTCATGTAGAAAATAGTGGGAATCTAATACAGTTGTCTCCCACTAAAAGATGTTAAATTCTTTTCTCACCTATATCAACTTCAAATTTCGAATTTTAAAAAAGAAGTGGGATATTAATGCATCTGTCTGTCACTATTTAATGCTGAACTCTTTTCGCATTAACTATTTAGTTTGAATATTTTAAATTTCGAATTAAAATAAATTATTTTTCATTCTTCTGTTTTAAAATTCTATATCTCGTATGATTGTTTTTCGTTCATCTGTTTTAAAATTCTATAGCTCGTATAATTATTTTTTCGTTTTCCATCTTATCATTATGAGCACTGGCAACTCCCATTTTTAAGTTAAAGTTTTATTAAATTTTCTTTTAAACTATAGGTACGTCATTTCGTATTTTTTTAAAAATTTAAAATTTAAAATATTTTTTATTAACTATACATATATTTTAAAATTTTAAATATATTTTTTGTTTAATCTATAATTTTATATTAAAATTCAAATTTATATGTATATATATATACACATATATATATATGTATATATATCTTTTTCCCATTACATAAACATTAAAAGCTGAACTCTTTTCACTTATCAAGTTCAAAATTCAAATTTAAAAAATTTGAATTTTAAATATTAAATAATTTTCCACCGAATAGACATATTAATATATATATATATGCCACTAATAAATTGTTGCAGCTTCCAACTTACTTTTCAGCTCCCGATAAGGTTCAATAAATTGTTGCAGCTTTCAACTTTCGCAGCTTCCAATAAAGAGACAGTGGAAATTTAATTGTGTTTGTCAAAATTGATTTTTTTAATCGGATTTCAATTGATGTTTTAAAATTTTAAGCTTAAAAAATAATTTAAAAAGTTACTATAACATGAAACATTTCAAATTCCTTTAAATGTGAATCCAAAGCTGAAATTGAAGGAGAACGTGACACGTGATCAAACTTTCTAACAAATAGTTTTCCTTTATAATATATAAGATTTTGTAGAATAATTAGAGAAATATGTATTTTATGTATTTTTTTTAAAGTTGAAAGTCAAAAGATAAAATAAAGATAACTTAGACATGTTCTTTAAATTTGATTTTAAAATAAAATAAAAACACTTACAATTTTAATTTTTTTATTTTTTTTACAAAACGAGTATTATCAAATGAGTTTTTTTTATTTTTTTATTCAGAAAACCAAAAAATTATTTTTAGAAATAATATTCAGGCAGGACATAATTTCCCTTTGTCTAACCAAATATTCACACTGGGGTAGCTTTGATTTTTACTGTGAAAAGAATGTTAGTTGTCATCATACATCTTAGATGGGAAGCCATCTCTAATTTGGATGAGTATATCTAAGGGAGGAAAGATAGTTTTCCAAATAAACTAGTCTCAACATTTGATTCCAAAGACAAGCTTATGTCTTTGCCCTTTTTCTTGGTTTCCCAGTTGAACATGAAGTTTCTCTTGTTTTCGCTGGCATGGACTTTTGGTCTACTAGCTTGTTGCTTCACTTCTGCCTCTACAGTGGAATACACTTTCAATGTACTTTCTTATGCTCTACTAGCATGTACTTCGCGTTTTCTGTAACCTAAGTATAATAACTTTTTGTTTTTGTTTTTTGTTTTGTTTTTGGTAAATTGTGCCCTCCTTGAATAGGAACAAAAAGTCTTGCAGCTTAGCTACCTACTATAAGCAGTGTTATTAAATGTTTTTCTGAGGTTGTATGTCTCTAGTTTCTGAACGGTACATAATTAAAATTGCATGTTGATTTTCATATTTTCGAAATTTCATTTGTTGCAGGTTCAAAATATGAATATACAACGTTTGTGCAATGAGCATGTCATAGTTGCAGTTAATAGGAGTCTCCCTGGACCAACCATAGAAGTCCGAGAAGGTGACGCTGTGATTGTCCACGTGTTCAACCAGTCACCCTACAATATCACTATTCATTGGTAAACACTCCCCTCATAACACTGTCCTTCAAGAATTTGAAGAAAGTATTTTGATATCTTTTGTCAACAGCTGCTATAAACACTTTTTTGTAATTTTAAAGGATATGATGTATATAACGATCCATTTAACAAATGGACCACTTGTTTGGAGTAGAATACATAGTTACTTTAACCTTTATATTAAACAACCTTAAACATTTTGGTCAGTGACATGACTGAAAAATTTGTTTCATTTAATAAATGACTCACTTTGAATTACATATGTAGGCACGGATTGTTTCAGCGTTTTAGTGCCTGGGCAGATGGTACCGAATATATAACTCAGTGTCCAATCCTTCCTGGAAATAGTTATACCTATAAATTCAACGTCACAGGACAAGAGGGAACATTATGGTGGCATGCTCATGCATTTGATTTACAAGCCACTGTTTATGGTGCTTTCATCATTCGTCCTCGGTTGGGTCAATCTTATCCATTTCCTCAACCCTACGATGAAGTTCCAATAGTGTTAGGTACTATAAACGCTTAATTCTGTTGAATATCTTGAAGGTATATATATATATATATATAAGTCAGGATCGTTTTACATAAGTTACACTCTTAATCTTGTCCGTTGATTTCATTTTTATCTAAGGGCTCAAATTTTTTAGTGATGTGAGCCATTAGATACAAATGAATCAATAGTTAAGATTATGTGTAAGACTTCTAACTCTTACACCAGTGTAAGAATATTCTACCCCTATATATATATGGGCAGGTTATATTTACAAAATTTTTTGCTTACAAACTCTTACAAACTACACTAAGTACGAACGGTCATACTTTAATCATGCAGTGTACATTGTACAACCGGTCGTACTTAGTGTAATTTGCAAAAAAAGTTTGTAAACGGATCATATCTCATATATATACATACATATATACACACACATATATATAGGGCTAATCGTTTCTCAAGTTGCTTGAGATAATTTTATCTCCGGCTACTAAATCATAACCGTACAAAGATGGATCAATGGTGATAAATGAAGAGGGAGAAAAATGGAATCATAACTATTCAAAGGTGAATCAATTAATATAAGGAAATAAATAAATAAAACGACGTGGTTTTGGGGATATATATATATATGGGAAAGGATATTGTGACAACCAAGTTGTGTTACTACTAAGTGAGTACCAATCAATCTTACCGTTAGATCGATTATATTGATCCAACGGTTATATTTATTTCCATCTTTGTATGGTCATGATTTCCCAAATTTAATACTTTATATTTTATTTTCACCTCTGTATGGTTATGATTTTCCATATTTAATGCTTTCACTTTAAATATGAGGAATCATGACCATACAAAGATGTAAATAAATATAACCGTTGGATCAACATAATCGATCTAACGGTGAGATTGATTGGTAGTCACTTGGTAGTAACACAACTTGGTTGTCACAATATCCTTCCCTTATATATATATATATATATATATATATATATATATATAGGGCTCATCATTTCTCAAGTTGCCGGAGATAACTTTATCTCCGGCTAGTAAATCATAACCGTACAAAGATTGATCAATGGTGATAAAGGAAGAGAGAGAAAAAACGAATCATAACCATTCAAAAGCGAATCAATTAATATAAGGAAATAAATAAACAAAACGACGTAATTTTGGAGTGGCCAGAGATAAACTTATCTCAAGCTGCTTGAAAAATGTTTTTCCCATATATATATATATATAATGTTTTTAAGAATTTTATGGACTTTACAACTAAATACAATTTTACTCATCAAAAAGTTTAAAAACTTTCATTGCTTTCAAAATTATTATTTTTTTCAACCGAAAAATTATCCCTATTTCACGAGCAGCAAATGTGATTTTCTTCCCAAATAAACAGGCTCTTATATAATTCACTATTATGAAATATAAGCATTTTATTTGTAAATTACATTGATGTATAAATTTTTAATTATTATTAGTACAAGTTTAAATATTTAATATATTTAATATTATAACTAATACATGTTGGATAATGACATTTATGTTAAACATGAAACATATATAATAGTATAAGCAAATATATTTATTAAGTCGATACTGTAAAATATTTATTTAAATATTAAAGTAATTTTAGTATATTAGATTATTGTGGTTTGTTATTTCGAATTAATTTTTTTAATTCATTTCTAGTCTTTAACCTAGTGTGTGTTGTTATGAGATAAGTATAAACATCTAAAGAATTTTGTTTAAGTTTATTTTTCAGTTTCTATTTAAAAAATTTTAAATTAAATATTACTAATATATACTAAAAAAATAAATAAGAAGTTTTGAATTATAAATAAGAAACACTTTTAATTTGTTTATGTAACAGATATATGGTTTTTTTATCTAGTTATGTAACACTTTTAATTTGTTTATGTAACACTTTTAATTTTTCTATCTGTCGAGAAGTTCACCAAATATAATTATTTATTTATTTTCAAAAATTTTCGACAGAATTCATTTTACTTCGAAAACTTTTCACGGAATGTGATTTCCATCGAAAAGTCCACAAACATAATTCTTTTTCATTTTTTTTTTAATTTTTCGACCGAATTCATTTTCCGTCAAAAACTTTCGACGAAATCTGAATTCCATCGAAAAGTCCACAAATATAATTTTTTTTTCATTTATTTTTTCAACAGTTTTCGACAAAATTCATTTTCCGTCGAAAACATTCGACGACAATACTTAATACAGTTACCACAAAATATACATATTCCAAAATCAATATTGTAATTAAACAATCCCATGCATATTGTCTGTACATCTGGTTGTACAAATTGCATAGTATCTCATTTACATTTAATGAGCATCTTGTATTTCATAAAAATTAGGGGTACATTTATAATTTCTTTTTCATTTATTTTTTTCAAAAGTTTTCGACGGAATTCATTTTTCGTCAAAAACTTTTCACGGAACCTGAATTCCGTCGAAAACTTTACGATGGAATTCGTTTTCCGTCGAAATTTTGGACGAAAAACAGATTTCGTGAAAAATTTTGTCAATAATTTCAACGGAATTTTTTCCGTTGAAAAATTCCGTCAATAATAAAAACTTTTCTAGTAAACGTTTCTAATAAATTATACATTTTAATTTCTCATTTCATATAGATTGAAATAATATGTTTAATAAGAAGAAACTGAATAAATTAAAAATAGGCCCAATAATATATGGATATTACTAATTGATTTGCGTATTAGAATTTATTGAAAAAATTATTATTTTTTCAATTTTGGATTTCAATTCATAAAGAATATTTTCATTTTAAAAGTTTAGAATTAAATCTATAATAAGAAAAACTGTAGGGGAAAAAATTAAAAGTTTAAAAAGATCAAAAAATAACGATTCAAAAATGAAATAAATAATTAATTAAACAAGTTGGTTACATAATTGAAGTGCAAGAAATTACATAACAATTGAAAATATTATGTTACCATGAAGAGGAAGAACTTTTATTTTATAGACAGATAGATGCAATTATATGAAAATATTGCAATTTTTCCCTTAACAAGAATAGATGATAATCTTTGTTTTTCTTTTTTCTTTTTTTCTTCTTTATAAATGCAGGTGACTGGTTTAATGGTAATGTTGTGGATATTGATATCGAAGCACTTCACGTGGGCCATGGTCCTAACTTGTCCAATGCTTACACCATCAATGGCTTGCCAGGCGATCTCTACAATTGTTCACAAAACCGTATTTCACCTCCTTGAATAATGCTTGTGCATAAAAATCACAGTTTCAATTACCAATATTTCAAGTGTGATTACAGGATTAGTATTTTTCGTATTGTAGGTTATAATTTTATTTCCTACAAAGAGTATAAAAAGTATGTGTAGCTCATATTTTTGTTATCTCTTCTTTCACATAATCCTCTCATACGGCCCTCACAAATTTTTATATATACGTAGGATATAACGAGAAAAGTTAATTCCTACATTTATATACTTTAATATCAACCATATTCCATTTATTTAACACTTTGTAACTCTTTTTAACTTGTAAACTCATGCTCTAAATGTGTATGAATTCAGAGACATTCAAGATCAACGTGACGCAAGGAAAAACCTACTTACTACAAATGGTGAATGCTGCAATAGATAACCATCTTTTCTTCAAGTTAGCAAATCATACCTTCACAGTTGTTGCTGTTGATGCTTCATATACGGCACCGTATTTAACCGAAGTGATCTTCCTTGCCCCTGGTCAAAGTGCTGATGTCCTTTTCACAGCGAACCAAGTTGTGGGTTCGTACTACATGGCTGCATCTCCTTATAGTATTGGTGTGCCAAAGCTCGATAATACGACAACTCGTGGCATTGTCGTTTACGAGAATGCAACAATATCGAAGCCTGTGATGCCAAAACTACCAGCCTTCAACGACACACTAACCGCTTTCACATTCTGCAGTAACATCACAAGCCTAGTGGGGGCCCCACATTGGGTCCCTGTCCCTGAAAATGTGGATGAGCACATGCTAATCACCGTTGGATTGGGCTTAGATGGTTGTCCTAAGAACGTTTCATGTGAGGGACCAAATAAAAACAAATTCTCTGCGAGCATGAATAATCAATCCTTTGTGTTCCCCAAAGCGAGAGGGTACTCTACGTTGGAAGCATTCTTTTACAATTTGAGTGGGGTCTACACTGCGAATTTCCCTGACTACCCTCCGAATCTGTTTGACTTCACGAATTACAGTCTACTTATTGATTACAAAGTTATGTTTGCAAGGAAATCAACTATGACGAAGAAACTCAAGTTTAATTCAACGGTGGAGATTGTTTTTCAAGATACGGCACTTATTCATGTGATAAACCATCCCATGCATATTCACGGTTATAGTTTCCACGTTTTGGCTCAAGGATTTGGGAATTTCAACTATGCCACTGATAAAACTAAGTATAATTTGATTAATCCTCAATTCCGCAACACAATTGCTGTGCCTGCTGGAGGATGGGCCGTCATTAGATTTCAAGCAAATAATCCAGGTATACTGTATTTAATTAGTTACACTTCAACTTGATAGAAGAAATTAATCTGAAATCGACAGTGCTCGAATCAGATTAATTGGGTAATCAATAAACCGATATATATATATATATATATATATATATATATATATATATATGAAAGAGTATTACTTAGATTAAATCATATTAACGATTGATGAGAAAAATAGTGTTTGTGTAAAGTTAGTTTAATATGAAATGAACTAATCTTGGAATATGATTGATATAGCACACTTAAATGTCATGATACATTTTTGGTATGTATTTTGCAGGGATATGGTTTGTGCATTGCCATGTTGATGAGCATATGGAATGGGGACTAGACATGGCTTTGGAGGTTGAGAATGGACCAACTCCTTCAACTTCAGTCCCTCCACCACCTCCTGATCTGCCTAAATGCAATCGAATTGGCATAGTGCACAAGTCTATGTTCGAAACCAACAACGCTACCAGTTTTCTTTAAATGTTTCTAGTTGCATTATATGTATCTGTAGTATTTAAAGTTAATTTAATAACTACATATGTTGGAGATTATGAGATTGAGAGAGAAGGGTTTTTAGGTGATTGAAGAATTATATCAAGAGACATCAAATTTAGAATGCTCAATAGTGTTACCTCCAGCTTAGGAAAATCCTAGAGATAATGCAAGCTATTGGGCTCTAGCCCATATGGATCTAAATAGCCATGTTTTAACCTATTGAGCTTGTATGTGAACATACTATTGGACTATATTATTAATATATCCAACAATCTCCTATGTTCACCATACAGTACAATCCAATAGAGTGATCAATGTAATGTTCAAACAAACATGAATCATTTGCATCCAGTCCAAGACAATTAACTCGGATAAATCAAAGAGTTTTAGGGACAGGGACCCAATGTGGGGCGGTGGCGGAGGTGGTGGTGGAGGATGCTGGCCATCATTACGACCAGTCCTCATCTCCTCCAACATGACCCTTATCATAGTCATGTTCGCCAGTCGGTTTTCCTCAACATGTCCTCAATGGCTTTTCTATTCGTTTTCCTCACGGCATCCACCATAGCCTGGTTGGCCGCTCTAGCGGCCTCCTGATCGGCTTGTCTAGCCGCCTGCATCTCAGCTAATGCAGTCAGGATAGGATCAGACTGACCCTCGCTCGTCTCACGAGTTCTCCTAGGAGGTGCCGTAACTGTGCACATGTTACACAAGGATGAGTTGATCAGGCCAACACAATATGGTCACGCATGCATTATAACAGCAAAACCTAACAGAGACTCATAAGACAATTCAGAAAGGCAAAACATCTTAAGTTATTGCAATACATACAAGCTTTTTCCCTAGAAAGTGCTCTGATAGCATAAAATGTAACACTTCGTGTGCACCTGGTGTATTAAACATATAAATGGTAATAAGCACAGCCCATTAAATACGGAAGCTAAAAATTTCCATTTATGAACCTTATTATATTAACTCAGTGAATCTTTTTCAAAAATCGCTTGTATGCAAATTGCAACAAATAACTAATCTGAATAACCTCATAACATAAATAATGTATCAAATCATGGAACTACAACACGTAGACCAGACAATCCAAATACAATAATGCAACTGTAGTATGAATAACACAACTTATTCAAATGTGGCATGGACAACCCCCCATGCTCACCAAATAAAACAACATAATCAAATCATGTCTCAAGTAAAATAGCCATCAAGACATAACAGCAAGGCATAAATCATAATAAAATGGCAAGGGGTAAAACCGATGACACGAAAGCTTACCTGCAGTGCAGAAATCCCTATCCAAAGGCTCGGTATACACAAATACACCAATAGTCACACAATCCGACAATTGCAATCTGTTTTATATCAACAATATTATTAATAATCAGAATCCGAAATTTCATATCAATTGAGCAATGCTTTCTTTTTCGTTTAGTGCCTCAAGTTCCTCCTAAAGCCATAATTATAAAATATCGACCCTCTTTATCATTCATATTTATATTTTCAACTGTAGCACTGACTCCCTAGGATACCATACCGTAATTAGGATTTTCCTACTCATAAGAACTGGTTTCTGATCTTTCTGACAAGGGGTAATCGATTACCACACTTTGCGTAATCGATTACTCCACATGGTAATCGATTACCACGCGGACAGAATACGAAAACTGCAGATTTTTCTGCATAATCCGGGGGTTACATGGCTTCCAAGGATCCAAGGTCCAATTTTTCATCAAACAGAAGTTCAAACCACATGATTAAACATAGATATACCATATTTGAAATGAATCATTAAAGTTTCCCCTTTTTACTTCACAAAATAAGCCATTTTCAAGAAAATGCAAGGGGAATGGTTTAAAGTTACCTATGGACCGTTGAAAACGGAAAAATGGGGAATGTAACACCCCGTATATATCCGGTAATATTATCATACTATCGTATTAAGCTGCGCTTAATTAAAATTGCGGAATATCTTTTTCTTTTCAATTATGATGTCATTATCATTACCAACTTGCTTATTAATCAATTAATAAAACATCACCTGTATGCAATTGCAATAAAACAGCTAACTGAAATACCTCATTAATTAAAACAACATAATGTACGTCTCTAGTCACGGAACTACAACGCGTAGACCGGACCAACTATCAGTTTATACAACTCAACTCAAAAGTACTAACAACATAGTGGCATAGACAACTCCCATGCTCACCCAAATAAGGAAACAAAGCCCAACATAAGTCTCAACATCAACAACATAATAATAATGTGGAAAACATAAATAGCATCCAGTCCATTCATGCTAGCAAATAAGCAGTAATATCATCAACTAAGCTCTGGCCTCCTGCCACCAGAGGCATCAGTCACCATACTACTTGAACCTGAAATAAGCATTCCCCAAACGTGGGGTGAGATCTCTAAACAAGAAATCTCAGTAAGACAAGGGGTCCTCAAGGGTCTTCCACCCGAAGCTCACTTACATGTGCAATATAAGTTTAAAAGCAGTTCATCAATATTATTTCTGAAACAATGCAATGCAGCAAATAATCATGTCATGTGTGTCAATTCTATTATACTGGCCAGAGAAATGCAGGATTTATATACGTATAATACCCACAAATAGTGCAAGATGTTACTTGCATCCACCCCAGATCGCCGTCTTGTATGACGCCACATACTCAGGCTTACCGTCAAGATGGAACAACACATGCATATTAAAAGCCATTACACATAAAGCTTAACAGCATCTCAAATATTCAAAACATGTAACACAATATGCATATAACCATACCCCCATGGGACATGGTGGAACCACAACATGGCTAAACCGAGGACACGAAAGCTTACCTTGCAAGCTAAAACCCAAAGCCAAGAATCCACAGCTCAAAGTCCAAACACAGCAGATTCACAATCTGTTATGGACCAACAATACATCAACAATCATACTCTACAAGTATACAATATAAAGACAACGCCTTTTCATTACGTTTTACTCAATTTTATAAGAATTAACATATTTTTCTTATATTTTTTCGAGCACCTTTCCGGTACGCGCTTTTCATAGCCAGTACCAGTTTCTGGCTCCAGTTCTTATTATTTTGACTTGAAACTCGTTTTACAAGTCCTACATATTATTCTAGTAATTATCATGCACATATTATAATTTTATGGGATACTTTTTCGGTACACTTTTATACCGACTAGCAGAACCGGTATCTGCCATTTTCTTCCGAAAAACGACTTTCACCATTATTACTCACTTACTATAATTATTAGAGCCTCATAATAATTATTAGGGTCAATTATGAAATTATTTTCTAATTTCACATAGTTAATTAATTAACTTCCTTAATTAACGGTGCGGGTTCTTACATTCACCCCACCTTTTTAGGATTTTGTCCTCAAAATCAGAATATACCTGTCTCGGAAGTCAGGATACTGCCGGAGAAGCTCGTCATCTCGCTCCCAGGTACACTCCTCAGGAGTCCTTCTTGACCATTGCACTTTGACCATCGGAATGATCTTGCTCCTCAGCTGCTTCTCGCCACGATCGAGAATCTTGTGTGGTCCGACGGGAGTCTTTAAGTTCCCCCGAACCTCCACATCATCTGGTTGCACCACGTGCGAAGGATCCGCTACATACTTGCGTAGCTGAGACACGTGAAACACGTCATGGATGTTGGCCAAGTTCGGAGGCAAGGTAAGCCGGTAGGCAACAAGTCCTACTCTACCAAGAATCTGATAGGGCCCAATAAACCATAGGCTCAGCTTCCTCACTCCGAGTTCCCGTCCAACACCGACGACAGGTGAAAGTCTCACAAACACGTGCTCACCCTCACTGAACTCTAGTGGACGATGCTTGACATCGTAGTAACTATTCTGGCGATTCTGCGCCTGCTTCAGCTTTTCCCTGATCATCTGGATCTGCAGGATGGTATCTTGGACAAAGTCCAAGCCAAACAACTCATGATCCCTAACCTCAGACCAGCAGGTAGGTGTACGACACCTCTTACCGTAGAATGCCTCGTAGGGTGCCATGCCCAGGCTAGCATGGAAACTGTTGTTATACGAAAAATCCACCAATGGAAGGTACCTATCCCATGCCGAGCCTTGCTCCAACGTGCAAGCCCGCAACATGTCCTCCAAGGTCTGGATAGTCCGCTCAGTCTATCCATCAGTCTGAGGGTGATAGGCTGTACTCAGTCTCAACTGAGTTCCAAAAGCTCCCTGCAGTGCCTCTCAGAACCAAGATGTGAACTTCGGGTCCCTATCACTGATGATACTCTCGGGCACCCCGTGAAGGCTCACGATATCGCGAACATACAGTTTGGCCAATTGCTTAGTAGTGAAGCTCACCTTCACTGGAATAAAATGGACAGACTTCGTCAGTCTGTCCACAATGACCCATATCGAGTCACAACCAACCTGAGTTTTCGGCAAACCCACAACGAAGTCCATGGAAATGCTCTCTCATTTCCATTCCGGAATCTCAAAAGGTTGAAGTTTACCAGACGGCTTCTGATGTTCAATCTTCACCTTCTGGCAGATCAAACACTTGGACACATACACAGCTATTTCCTTCTTCATTCCTGGCCACCAGAAATTCCTTTTTAGGTCTTGGTACATCTTTGTCGCACCAGGGTGAACAGTAAACTATCCCTTATGGGCCTCCGCTATAACCTCTTCGGTCAAAGGACCTCGAGGAATCACCACACGCTTCTGAAACAACAAAAGTTCATCCTCATTCCAAGACACACCGTCTTGGTTCTTCACGTAGTCGAGACACTCTCTCTGCACTTGCGCCTCGTGGATCTTCTCCATAAGCTCATTCCTGACTCTCACAGTCTCCATCTCGAGAAGTCCACCCCCAAACAAGGTTGTCACCTTCAGATCTCGAAACTTCTCTATGAGGTCGAAGTCACCCATCGTTAAACTGGATAGACTCACAGATTTCCAACTCAAAGCATCAGCTACCA